ACGAAAGGATACAAAACAGCAATGTTATCACCAAAATGGAATTTAAAATTGGGGTATGTTTCAACTTTCAGAATTACAAATATTTTAGAAGATCAATATGTACAGTACAATATTGGCAAGTATATGGGAAAACATAATTCAGTATCGGTGTATATACAGATTTTAATAGGTAGTATTTTTTGAGAGCTTACTATACACCATGCAGAATCTTAAGAGCCATACCAATATTAACATATTTAACTCTCACAACAATCCTATACTTATGAAGTAAGTACCACCTCAGGATTTAGTCCTTTTAGGGGACAATTTTATTTATTCAACATTTATCAAGTACCTACTGTCTGGAAGATACTATCAGAGGCATGTGGAATTCAAGAGTTAACAAAGATCCCTGCTCTAGGGGATTATATTATAGGAGGAGACACACAAAAACCATAAATTACTCAGTACAAGGGTGGTAAACTTCTCTGTAAAGTGCTTGGCAAAGTATTTTAGTCTTTGCTGGCACACAGTCTTTGCCACTACTACTAAACTATACGAAACTGCTCTTTGAAAGATAATACACAAACAAATAAGCATAGATGTATCCTAGTAACACCAAAAGACAGCCAGTGGGCCAGACCTGGCAATAACTTGCCAATCCCCAATCTAGGGTGCTAAAGTTGGTAGGCGATATAGGAAAAAAAAAAAAGACAGGATAAGCAAAATGAAAGATTATACATGGAGTACTTAAATGAGATGATCAAAGTATGCTTCACTGTGCATGAAACAGTAAAGAAGGCTGCCAAGCTGTGAGAGAAGAGCATTCCAGTCTAAGCAGAGGCAAAGAAATGGGCTGGCATGTTGTTGAAGAAACAGCAAACAGGCCAGTATGGGTAGAGCAGCATGACTAAGAGAGACCATAAGAGAAGAGGTGGTCAGGGAGACAATGGAGTAACCAATGAGACAGGACCTTTTAAATGACCTTGTCTTTTACTAGAGTGAAAGAGGAACAACTTGTAGAGTTCTGAGAAAAGAAGTGACATGATATGACCTGCATTTTAAAAGGACTGCTCTAAGTGCTATTTTGAGAAGGCTGTGCCTGGGCAAAGGTGGAGTAATGTAGATAAGACATTAAAGGTGGCCCAGATCCGAGGGGGAGTAGAGTTAGTGG